GTTTCGAATGTAGCCAGACCGAACCCATTTCACGATACCATTTACTCATTCCAAACAGTAGTGCACCAACCACCATATAAAAGGGAAGCCACGAAAGTGAAGTGAGATGGATATCCTTCTATTGGTTGTTATATTTTTACCACTATTAGCCGTTACAGTAGTGAGAAGTGGCATGGGATGAATTACTCCAGAACGGGACGAACTCCTCTTTCAGACCTCGAATGTATACACAACAATCAGTTCATCCAGGTAAGTTGCAGGCTTTTTTGTACAGCTTGAATGGCAGTGTAGCCATGTTCGGAATGCGTCTTGCACCTCCAAAATGCAAAATGTTACTTCAAGACTGGGCTGGTCAAGCACCCAAACTCACTCCAACTGGGGACGTAATAGAGCAGGCGGATAAGTTTTGTTATTTGGGCAGCTACATCTCACCCAGTGAATGCATCACGGATGAGGTGTCAGCTCGCATACAGAAGTCTAGGTTGACATTTGCCAACTTGAGACATCTGTGGCGCCGTCGCGACATTCGGCTGTCTGTCAAGGGTCGAGTACATGCTGCGGTAGTTCGTCCAGTTATGCTATACGGCGCAGAAACTTGGCTATTAAGAAAACGGGATAAACATAGACTGTCGGTGTTCGAACACCACTGACTACGCAGCATTGCACGAATCCGGTGGGGCAGCCGGACGAGAAATGCTGAGGTCAGGCGAAAAGTTTTAGACAACCTTGGTCGTCCACTGGAGCAAGTGGTCGTCCTCCATAAATTACGTTGGGTGGGACGTGTTACGCATGTTACCAGATAGGTTTCCACGGCGAGCGACGTTTGCCGAGGCAGGTAGTGAGTGGAAGAAAGTCAAGGGTGGCCATGCTAAGACCTGGCACGAGGGTATGAAAACCGTGACCAGGGGACTAGGTCACATAGGTCCTGTTAGGCTCCTTGGCTGGGGACCTCACGATGATCGTACCCGATGGTTAGAGACACTGAGTGATATGGTTGAGTGTCGTAAGCAGTGGCGTGCGTGCATCTCGTCATTTTCTCTGCAACATTAGTCCACTGAACTTCTCAAGTTTCTCTTCGATCCTACTTTTAACCTTTCCTGTCTTTCTCCTACTGTTCATCCAAATGGGCAGCCAAAGGACAGCAACTAAAACTGAAACCACCGGTTCATCCAGTCAAATATACACTTGGGGAGATCCAGACTTGTATGTCGCTCTTGCTAGAGCTCATCAACAGTACGGTGGTAGTTGCGGTGATTTATTTGCTGTCACCGACTTGCTTCGGGCCTTGTGGTCTGAGCCCCGCCATCATCACCCAACTTCGGTGGTAGACAGCTTTGCTGTCGCTCGGTTCTATACCACGCCTGAACTAGTGAGACCTTATGTGGTTCGCCACTCCAAGTCCCGGGTTTAGGTTACCGGTTCACTGAACAGCAGATCTTCGTCAATATGGTGTCCGCCCCGACTACATTTTATCACAAAGAGGAGCCTAAGGAAAACAAGTACATATCTATCAGCAGCGGTTCAAAAATTGAACCCTTCCCTGGAAAACCATAGCTGTTTCATGAGAGTAATGGATGATTTGATTCCACTTCATAAGGGGATTTGTCGTGTATGGAACAAATGAAGCGTGAACTGCAAGATCTGGTTGTGTCTCTTCAGTTGCGCTGCCCAACTGCGAATCGAACCGGGGACTTACGGGGCAGAACGCAAGCAGACTACCCACTCGGCCTCCGAGCAGCTGATCAGACCGTTTATCATTTTCCATTTACACCATAAAGCACAACCCATCTTTGCGAGCTTGTTGCTGGCCTCTCGCCTCGCTCACCTCAGTACTAGCCTCCGGGGTTATGACTCGGTTGGAAACTTCCCCAAAATGTAAATGGAAAAACAAAAACGGTCTGATCAGCTGCCCGGTGGCCGAGTGGGTAGCATGCTTGCGTTCTACTTGTGAGGTCCCTGGTTCGATTCCCAGTTGGGTCGACGAATTCGAAGTGCTACTGACGAAACTCAACCAGGTCGAAACAGCTGTTCAGTGCTTCCTAACTTTTCAGTTCACGCTTCGACTGTTCTATTCACAACAAATTCCTTTATGAAACAGCATAACTGCGTCAATCAGATCACGAGGTGGACCACTGGTGTCAATTTGAGTTCGATCAGATGCTATCACCAATGACAGTCAGCGCTCTAGACCCGCAAAAGTTAACTGACAGCCTCCCATCGAACCAATTCTGCGCATATGACATATGTTACTCCAAGGGTAATTTTGATTTAATAGAACGTATCCATACCAATTGGGGACAGATACATGTGCTGGGAGAGAAAATGAACTGGGTTTCAGATTCAAAATCGAATCGATTCGGTTGAACGGTGGGTTGTTAAGTCACGACCTGTTTCACAAGAGACAGATAGGGTGAGTGATCAAAAGAAAGTGAGCTATGGGAGAGTGGAGAACATTTACCTGTTTTTCCACCTTGTAAGGGTCCAAAATTTTGCACAACACAAATGGTGCGGTTGAGTAGACACGCAGCGTGTAGTGAATCGTGTTACTCTTCTCGTATTGGGAAATGACCAGTGTGTAGTTGACTGTGCCGGCATCTTGGAGCAGTTGGACTAGACAATGTGGACTGTTGATACGGACTGAGTCACGAAATGGTTCCGGATCGTAGGGATAATAGACTTTACGACTGGTAATATTTTTGTACACCACTACCGCAATGAACTCTTTGTTGTCAGCAAAATCGGCCTAAAACAGATATGAAATAGTATGCAGTTACTGCTGGGGGTGGGTGAGAATAGGACATAGAAAGACGGTGTCCCAACGATACTTACAATGTCAACAGGAGCACAGTGATTAATCAGTTTCACTGTAGTTTGCTTATTGGGATGGAAGAAACTTGATTGATTTTCATCTGTAAAGATGATGAACTACTTATTTTAACGATGGAGATGGCAACAGTCATTTTGAGGTAGACTATGGATGTGTGAACTTAGAAAAAACGATACTGACAGATCAATCGCGTACCTTGTCTGTGATATGTCGGGTGAGAAGAATCCATATGGGAGCCTCCACTGTGCTACGAACTTCCAGATTGTATTGTGGGTTATTTGCACTTGAGTAACTATCCTTTTTCGGTCCTTCACCAGCTAACCATGAACTGACGAACGGAAAGAAAGGTAGACGGTTAGTAACGGAGCACGAGAACAGACATAGGCGAGTAGGACATTAGGACGGTAGAATGGGTGTATAGAGGTGAAATATCCTAGTATATTTTCGTCAATGGGTTTTCGTCTTTGTCTAACTACCTTAAAGCGATTTAGCAGAACAAGGGCACAATATGAACAGTACATTAGAAGTCGCCAAGTGAAGCATAAAGTTGCGTAATTTGAGCCATCTATCAGATCACAGAACGAAAACCAGATAACAGAGTACGGTACACAAAGAATCACTGCACAGTACGTACTTATGCGCACGCGTGTCCCCGGGGTGGGCTTCCTCGGTGTGTGATGTTTGCCGAAGCAAGANACGATGGTAAGATTATCTATCACCTGGTGGCAGGGAACAAAAACATCACCCAAGGGCCTAACCAAAATAACCAATGGATTCTCTATCTAATACATCCTGATTTATTATGGAAGGATGCTAGGGATGTTGCACAATCAGAGCCCAGGCGAATGTAAACTCAGCATCATTTGTTGTAAGGTGTTAGCTGGGAAATGCACCATTTAGCTTAGTGCGAGAGACCAATTCGGTTAATTTACAGAAATCTCCGGTCGATGATACTGAAGAAGGACGGAACAATCAATAAAAAATGCCTCGTCTACTATCCGTTTAGTTTGGTTTTGTTGATCAAAATTTGACTGCATCGACCCGTAAAAACAATCGATCGTGTAACCAAAATTTGTTGAAACGATTGAGAATGTGAATCATGCAAAGTGGGTCAATGCGAGTATTACATGTGTCAGCACGTCAGTATCTCCGAGACCCCCAAAGACAAATATCCTAAAATGCCCCGGTGGAAATGTTACTTTTGTAACTGCTGGTTTTCAGGAAACTAAATAATCTACAGTGAAACTATGTCATTTTTAATTGCTCATACGATCGGAGATATCGACTTAGGTTTTCTATCCAAATCCTACGATCCCAACCTTTGTTCAACTCTTTGTATTCCGTACCCAATCCTTCCTCTTTACTTCTTCTTCCGATTCATAACATTCCATCAGACTACTTGATCGTCACTTGTCAAAGGTCGTAAGTAGTCTACCAGTAAGTATAATGCAGATTCCGAAGCCACGTCAACCTCTGAATCTGGGGTCCTACAAAGTGAGGACTCTGCAGCTGGGTAAACAAGCGCGTACAATGAACTGTATAGAAATTGATGTCTGTTGCGTATCGGAGACACGAATTCAGTATCCTAGTATTGTAAGCCACCCAAATGCATCGGATTCTCGAGGTACTTCCTTCGCACATCAGCAGACGATGTAGCTGGCTCTTTGGGTCATTGAGGTGTAGGGGTCATGGTCACGTTAAAGCTGAGTCCTCACTGATAAATTGGGTGCCTGCTGATGGTTCCTTGTGCGAAATGAGGCTCCAGAGTTCAGTTAGTGTTCGGAAGGGCAGCAACACCATAAGGTGGAAAGATTTTTTATTACACGAAAGTGATTATAGTACAAGGGGTAAAACCCCATGATCCGAAGATAAACTGTAAGTGGGAAGGTATGGGAAACATTCAAACTAGAACCAGCTTGTTGATTCTGCGTTTCAAAAAGCGTGTTGTACGTTGGAGGGAAAACCGAAAGGGGGAGTGTTCCACAGTTGTGCTGCGTTCTTGGGAAAAAAACAACAGGGAACCGATGCTGCGAGCAGCGCGGAAAACAAGTAGATAAATATAAGGTGATTATGAAAGAGAAGAAGATAAGGAAAGACCCAATAGGTTGCATAATTCTGTGGAACGGAGTGTGTTCGAGTTGAAATTCAAGGAAGGGGAGAAAGATGCGTGCTTAGGAGAAATGGACATGAGAAAAGTTTTACGTTCATTGAACAGAACACGGTTGCTATAGCCCCAAGCACAGATAAGGCCCAGATCAGAATTTAGAGAGAAACTAAGGGAGGAGCGGTCGTCACTAATGCATCATCATCATCATTGTACAGCGTAATACAGTGAAGCGAACTTCACTGATCGCTGCCAAACTCATAATGCATACAAGATAAGTGAGAATGTGTAAGGAGGACAGGGATTGGGTCTATTTTTAGGGACGGAAAAAGAAAGCGAACTTCTATGGTCAGCCCAACTGTGCATACATACTAGTTCAAGCATTTTGGACTGATAAGAAGTGACAGCATGATCACCATTGCTGCGGGTTGGCAGCCATGACCTTTAGTGTCTCCAACCACGCGGTTTCGGAGTCTTTTGGGCCCCGACCCGGAAGACATCTACTCTACCTAATCGCTCTGTGCATTTTTTCATGCCTCGTCTCCACGTCATCTGTCAGCCTCCACGTGGCTTTCTCCAGCCTGTAACAGCCACTGTAAACAAGGCGCGCTGCGGTAGGCGACCGTCGGACATACGCAAAACGTGTCCTAACCAACGGAGCCCACTGAGCTGGATTCGATGAGATGGTGAGTTCTTGTTCGATGCATTCCCAAACCGACGACTTACTTCTAATTTAGTAACCCGCTCACTCCATCCCATTTGAGCCAGGCTACGTAGGCATCGATTGTCGGAAACTGCTAAATGACGGGTGTCTTCTACCCGCAAATTCAAGGTCGCACAACCGAAAAACAGAACTGATGGTACAGTGGCGCAGTATACGCAGTGAAACGTCACGTCTACGCCACAGGTGTTTTAGTCCTGCGTACGCTGCTCGAGCCTTGGAAATGCGGGCTGTTATCTCTTTCGATGCGCTACCGTCAAGCAGCTACCTAAGCAC